AAAAAAAAAAAAAAAAAAAAAGAAAGAAATACTCAATCTGTACTTACCTTCACTGCTTATACTCTGATCTTTTCTATTTTCTTCTGTTGTATTTTAACTTTTTAAAGCATGTTGATCCCGGTATCCCTAAACTGACCTTACAATCCATTAGTAGGTTACAATCCAAAATTTGAAAAGCACCACCTTGGGAAGCTGCATGCATATGTCAGAGACATGAGTAAGAATACTGGGCTTAACTACTGCATGATATTACATGGTATAAATTCATTCATCTATGGCACTAAACATTCTTATTTATACTTGTATTAGAAAAATATGCACACAAATGTTCACTATAATAAAATTTGAATAAAACATTGAAAAGAATCTAAATTAAGGATAATGAATAAATTGTGCACTCATACAATGAAATGGCCTCTAGTAATTAATAATACATAAAATCATCAATCTTACAAATGTAATGGCAAGAAGAAAGAGTTGTAGACTGACAACGTACTATAAGATTTAAGAGCAAATGGACTCTGCCTGTAGGTAATACGTATGTAGTTAAAAGGAAAAATGGGTGATCCCTCAGAATAAAGATGACATGTCCAAGCCTCTTCTGTAGCTGGGTGTGGCCAAAAGGAAATAAGGAGAGGCGTTATGGTGGCATCTAGGAATCTTCCTGAAAGCATGGCTAGTATGCTTCCTCTGCCCCTTCTTCCTCTTTTTCTCCTGTTTACTGGAGCTGGAACAGCTTTCTCTGACCTGGAGGTGCACTAAGAAATGGAGGCCACCAACACTGGAGGAACAGGTAAGAGGAGCTTGGGTATCCAGAGACTCTGAAGCAGAGTTACCAAACCTGTGGGAGCCTTGATTCAGCTGTGTGAGAATTAGGGCAGGCTCCAGAGGAAACAATGTCTGAGATGAAACCTGAAGAGCCAACCAGGGGTTAGTCAGCCAGACAAAGTGGGGTGGGGGGACTTGAGGAGAGGTTTCGATAAACAAGGACCAGGACAAGAGGACCTCGAGTGCTTCAGTATGACTGGAATACAGTAAGGGTTTGGATCTGTTTACTGCAGTATCCCTAGTATCTAGCACAATGCCTGGCAGTTAATTGAGGTTCAACAGAGGTTGGATGACCAAAAAAAAAGCCTAGCACAGTAGGAAGTGGTGAAAGTTAAGGCTTTCAGTAAGCATGGACTTACATCTCCTTTGTAGTTGCTCAGTGTCAGTAGTTACTATGTGTCAGCAATTCTTGAAGTAATCCGGTGAGACAGATATTAACTCTGCTATCTATGTTTTATAGGTGGAGAGACTGAAGCTTAGAGATGTTTGTTTTTTGTTCTTTTTTGTAGAGACAGAGTCTCACTTTATCACCCTCAGTAGAGTGCTGTAACGTCATAGCTCACAGCAACTTCAAACTCTTGGACTTAAGTGATCCTTTTGCCTTAGCCTCCTGAGTAGCTGGGACTACAGGCGCCCGCCACAATGCCTGGCTATTTTTTTGTTGCAATTTGGCCGGGTTTGAACCTGCCACCCTTGGTATATGGGGCCTGTGCCCTACCTACTGAGCTAACAGGTGCCACGAGAGATGTTAAATACTTGGAAGAAATAATTTTTTTCAGTAGACATAGTGAAGAGCATTACCGTAGATGATTCTGGACACTTCAGTGAAACTGTAAAATTATTTCCATTTACTTGACCTTAATAGTGACTCTTTATACCACTCATCTTGGGTTCTAACTTTGTATCAGACTGCTTTCCCAAGCTCTTCTGCCTGTCTTTTATGGAATTTATCGTTCTATGCTTTAACTGTCCACCAACCTGCCCTCCTCCTCATTAGACTGTATGTCTCCTTAAAGGCTTCTCTGCTGAAAAATCAATACTTGGTACAGAGCCTGACATAGGGTAAATGTTCAATAAAATATCTGCTAATGAATCAACAAGTTCATATGGGTCACAGCCCCAAGCAGAACTGGCTTGCTCTTTGTCATTTAAGCTGCCCACACTATATACTGTAAAAAAAAAAAATAAATAAACCCACGTAAGTAACATACCCAAAGGATTCTTCTTGTCTTTACACTTTTCTTTGAATTCAAGGATAATTTTTTTCATTAGTTCATCAACAGCTGCGTTGGAAGGTGCACACACGAGGACACGGTTCTGTTTGATTTTGGCATTGGAGTTTTCATCTGAATGCCCCCGTCTCTGGTTCTACAATTTGCCACACACACACACACCAAACAAACACCAAAAAAGTATTGATGAGGTCTAGTACAGAGTTTTAAAGTTTTTCTTCACTTCCATGTGTACTTGAAAGTTCCCATAATAAAGTTAAAGATAAATAAAAGCTCTAATACCTTACACTGCTATTAAAATTACTCTAGCAGCATAACCTTTTTTTTTTTTTTATCATAACTGTTCTGAGTCTTACTTTACCATCACTTCTTTAATCAATCCTCAACCCAACCAAAATGGAGCCCTGGAATACATTGGAGATCATTTCCTGGCATTAGATGAGACCTATAATGAAACCTATTCACCACCATTCTAGTCCTTAGGATTTGTTTCTTTACATAAAATAGTGTTTCCTACTCTGTTTTTTTTTTTTGTTTTTTTTTTTAAGAGACAGAGTCTCACTTTGTCACTGTGGGTAGAGTACCGTGGTGTCACAGCTCATAGCAACCTCCAGCTCTTGGGCTTAGGCAGTTTCTCTTGCCTCAGCCTACTGAGTAGCTGGGACTACAGGTGCCCACCACAACACCCAGCTATTTTTCGTTACAGTTTGGCCAGGGCTGGGTTTGAATCTGCCACCCTTGGTATATGGGGCCGGCGCCCTACTCACTGAGCCACAGGCGCCACCCCTACTCTTTTTACATATAACCTTCCCTCTCTCTGCTATCCCCCTCTCATGCAGTTCTACACAGTATCAAAAATACACACAAAAGTGATTATACACAACTCGAGATGGAAGAGGTGAGTCCGGTCTCAAAATGGAGGGCTACGATCCAAAGGAGCCAGAGCAGGTGAGAAAACTTTATTGGTGGTCTGAGCTTTGAAACTACAGATAACAGTTTAAGAGAACATTTTGAGAAATAGGGCACATTCACAGATTGTGTGGTAATGAGAGATCCCCAAACAAAACGTTCCAGGGGCTTTGGTTTTGTAACTTACTCTTGTGTGGAAGAGGTGGATGCAGCAATGTGTGCTCGACCACACAAGGTCGATGGGCGTGTTGTGGAACCAAAGAGAGCTGTTTCTAGAGAGGATTCTGTAAAGCCTGGTGCCCATCTCACAGCAAAGAAAATTTTTGTTGGTGGTGTTAAAAGATACAGAAGAATATAACTTGAGAGACTACTTTGAAAAGCATGGCAAGATCGAAACCATAGAAGTTATGAAGTATGAAAGGCAGAATGGAAAAAAGAGAGGATTTGCTTTTGTAACTTTTTTTTTTTTTTTGAGACAGAGCCTCAAGCTGTCCCCCTGGGTAGAGTGCCATGGCATTACAGCTCACAGCAACCTCCAACTCCTGGGCTCAAGTGAGTCTCCTGCCTCTGCCTCCCAAGTAGCTGGGACCACAGGCGCCCGCCACAACGCCCGGCTATTTTTTGGTTGCAGCCGTCATTGTTGTTTTGGCGGGTCCGGGCTGGGGATTCAAACCCGCCACCTTAGGTGTACGTGGCTGGCGCCTTAGCCGGTTGAGCTATAGGCGCTGAGCCTGCTTTTGTAACTTTTGATGATCATGATACTGTTGATAAAATTCTTGTTCAGAAATACCATGCTATATATATATTTTTTTTTTGGTTGCAGCTTGGCTGGGACTGGGTTCAAACCTGCCACCCTCGGTATACGGGGTCAGTGCCCTACTCACTGAGCCACAAGCACTGCCCGAAATACCACACTACTAATGGGCATAACTGTGAAGTGAAAAAGGCCCTTTCTAAACAAGAGATGCAGCCTGCTGGATTGCAAAGAGGTCATAGAGGTGGATCTGGCAACTTTATGGGTCAGGGAGGAAACTTTGGTGATGGTGGAAATAATTTTGGCTGTGGTGGAAACTTTGGTGGAAGGGAAGGATATGGTGGTGGAGGTGGTGGCAGCAGAGGTAGTTATGGAGGAGGTTGATGGTGGATACAAAGGATTTGGAGGTGATGATGGGAACTATGGGGTAGTCCTGGTTACAGTAGTAGAGGGGGCTATGGTGGTGGTGAACCAGGATATGGAAACAAAGGTGGTGGATATGGTGGAGGAGGAGGATATGATGGTTACAATGAAGGAGGTAACTATGGTGGTGGGAACTACAATGATTTTGGAAATTATAGTGGACAACAGCAATCAAATGATGGATCCATGAAAGGGGGCAGTTTTGGTGGAAGAAGCTCGGGCAGTCCATATGGTGGTGGTTATAGATCTGGTGGTGGAAATGGTAGATATGGTAGCAGGTTCTAAAAACAACAGAAAAAGGCTACAGTTCTTAGGAGGAGAGAGTGAGGAGTTGTTAGGAAAGCTGCAGGTTACTTTGAGACAGTCATCCCAAATGCATTAGAGGAACTGTAAAAATCTGTCACAGAAGGAATGACGATCTATAGTCAGAAAAGTTACTGCAGCTTACATAGGAAACCTTTCTTGTTTAAGACTATCACAGGCAGAGTTTGCAAAAAGTGCAGCTATTGACTGATGCAATGTAGTGTTAATTAGATGTACATTCCTGAGGTCTTTTATCTGTTGTAGCTTTGTTTCTATTTTCTTTTTATTACACCAGGTGTATTGCCCTGTAAATTGTGGTAGTGGTACCAGAAATAAAAAATTAAGGAATTTTTAACTTTTCAAAAAATATATATATACACAAAAATGAAGGGGAAAGGTACTTTAACACCTATTTACATTTCAGTTAACCCAGGGGAAGTACAAGGATGTGCCTAATCCACACCAGTGCCTTCATTCACACCTACCTCTGTTAGCAAGCGGTATAGGAGGCCAACAATAGTTTTTGATTTTCCTGTTCCAGGTGGACCATGAATCAGGCAGATTTTGGCAACTGATGGTGAGTGTTTCACCATGGCATATGCAGTTTCTATTGCTTTCTTTTGGTCTTCGTTAAAATCTCTTAAGTAGGCAATCTATATAAAAAGACACGTATGAGAATGAGTTCTTTCTGTAGTGGCACATGAGAAGAAAATAAATGAAAAACGCCCATTCAAATGTCCTTCAATTTGTGTCAGACAAAAGCTTTGGTTATGGTCGGGCAATACGTTAAAGTGTCCTTTGACCTAAAACCACTTTCACTACTAGAAAAATGCTAATTACTTACTAATTAGTGTCTGTAAGCTTCAAATGTTCACAAATACCACAACTACATTTTCGTTTGTGATTCTTACAATGATGACCACAACAAATTGCATTAATCTATACTTTCCTTCTACTTGTTTTCTTCCATTTCTTTAGGCAGTAAAAACATTCTAAGACTATTTCTTTCCTAACACAATGTGATAGGATGGAAAAAGCATGGATTTCAAGGTAAGATCTAAGTTTAAACTTCATTTCCTATTTTTTCAGAGACAAGGTCTCACTCTGTCCCTCAGGCTAGAAAACAGTGGCCAAATTGTAGCTCACTGTAATCTTGAACTCCTGGGCTCAAGTGATTCTCCCTCCTCAGCCTCCCAGACTGTTGTGATTACAGGTGTGAACCACCATGCCTAGCTTAAACTGTAGATTAAATTACAAACCAGGCCAATAAACTCCTAACCTCTTAAGAGTCTTAGCCTCTGTTATTCATTAACTCCAGGATTCCTTTTAAAAAGGAAGGTAAGGAATGACTGAGATAAAGCACAGGAAAGGACACAGTAGGGGTTCAAAAATATTAGTTTTCTTTTGCATTTCTCTACATTAATTTTCTGTAACTTATACACTCCTCTACCACTGAAAAACACTTGTTCACACAAGGTAACAACTCATTTTTGCATTTGCAACAATACCATTCAGCCTTCCATCAATCACGCAAATGCAAATTTGACATCACTAACCTTGAGACTCCTACTCCTAAACTTCATCACCTAACATTAACATTTTGATACTGCTTGTCCAGTATACCTTCAACTCTACTGCACCTTTTCCTGAGGTAAGCTAAGCTAATTACATGCTCTGCAATATTAAAGAAACTTAGTATTCAATTGTGCATTCACAGTGAACATGTCTTTGTTGCTGACCAACAGGAGCGGGTAGCAGTAAAAATATGAAGTTTTACATCCTGACATAAAATGTTTTTCTTGTCACTCACAATTCTTTCAGATGTTGTAGTTAGTAAATCTTTTGTACAGAAGTCCATGGGGTTTGGATTTAGAACAGCTCTAGCCAGTTGGTTCCGACCACTTAACAGAGACATGGCTTTCAATTTCCTTTGTGTAGTTACCAGAGAACTGATTACAATACACGTCACAAATTCATTTAAATTGGCTGGCAAGTTATCTTGAGTCTGGATGGAAAGGCAACACTCAGATTTCCCATTACGCACTATTACCAAGAAGGAGAAAAAGCAGTTTCGGTTACTAGTGAATAATGCTTTCCAGTTAAAAAGGTTAGGCAAAAGTTGTTTTCTGTAAGATTCATTACTTTAAAAATTCACTCAATAACTATTTACTGAATGCCCCCTCAGAACCAAGCAATGTTCTGTCTTCCAGAGGCTTATTTTCTAGAACAGGGAGGCACATAACCAAATTAACATGTCAAGTTTATAACAAATGTTATAAAGAAAGCAGAGATAAGTGGACAAATTTGCAGGATGAAGGCAGAAAGGCTGGCCAGGGAAGGTTTGCCTGAAGATATACTGGAGCAGAGACTTGAAATAAGGGAGTAAAGCTGTGTCCTTAACCAGGGGAAAGAGCACTACAGGCAGACAATCAACAACCACAGAGACTGTAAGACAGAGGTGTATCAGAAGTACTTTACGGCTCCGCGCCTGTGGCTCAAGCGGCTAGGGCGCCAGCCACATACACCTCAGGTGGCGGGTTCGAATCCCCTGCCCGGGCACGCCAAACAACAATGTTGGCTGCAACCAAAAAATAGCCGGGCGTTGTGGCGGGCGCCTATAGTCCCAGCTACTTGGGAGGCTGAGGCAGGAGACTTGCTTGAGCCCAGGAGTTGGAGGTTGCTGTGAGCTGTGATGCCATGGCACTCTACCCAGGGGGACAGCTTGAGGCTCTGTCTCAAAAAAAAAAAAGAAGTACTTTACAAATAAGGGAGAAGGCCAGAGTAGCTGGAAGGAAAAGTAGGGGGAAGTGCTAGACAATTCGCAGTTAAATGGGCCTATATTTTAAAGGGTTCCGCAGACCACACTAATGATTCTGAACACTATTCACAGCCGGGCAGAAAGCCACAGGGCAGCTGTGTGTAGGGAAGTAACAAGCTCTACCTTACATATTAAACAAATCACTCTTATTCTTAACAAAGAATAAACTGCAATGGATAAAAGTGCAGATGCAAAGAGATCACATACAAGGCTACTTCAGTAATCTAAGTGAAAGCTAATGGTAGCTTGGGCCAGGATGTAAAAGCAGGGATTGGATTTTGGATTTATTGTAGAGGATGAGTCAAAAGGATTTGCTGACAATATAGATATAGGATACAAGAGAAAGTAAGGATGATCCCAAGGTTTTTGGACTGAGCGACTTAAAGCATAGAGGCTCCACTTAAACAAGATGGAAAAAACTAAAAGAGCAGATGTCAGGCAGAAAATCAAGTGTTTACATTTCCATTAGTGGTCTGGAATATCTAGTAGGTCTCCAAATGGAGACATTGGATGGTTTTCACCCATGAATGAATGCGGGGAAGGAAACTTCCTTAGAACTATAAATCTGGCAAATGTTATGGTTTGCAAGAGCCAAAAGCACACAGTAGGTGATTTAGCCTTGCTGGAACTCTTCTTTCTTTCTTTTTTTTTTTTAAAGAGACAGAGTCTTACTTTGTTGCCTTCGGTAGAGTGCTGTGGTGTCATAGCTCACAGCAACCTCCAGGTCTTGGACTTAGGCAATTAATTCTCTTACCCAGCCTCCCCAGTAGCTGGGACTACAGGCTCCTGCCACAACAGCTAGCTATTTTGTTGTTGCAGTTTGGGCAGGGCTGGGTTCGAACCGACCACCCTCAGTATATGGGGCCAGTGCCCTACTCACTTAGCTACAGGTGCCGCACCCCCTTTTAAAAAAAATTTTTTTTTTGTTGGGGATTCACTGAGGTACAAGAAACCAGGTTACACTGATTACATGTGTTAGGTAAATTCCCTCTTACAATTGTGTCTTGCCCCCCAAATGGAACTCTCCTAAATGTATTTTATACAAAGAATTGAGTGAGCTCTGGTCATGCTAATAATCATAGCCCACTTGTTGTAATGTAACATTAATGTTGACCTAAGGACTTTTTTTTTTTTATATATAGTTTTTGACCAGGGCTGGGTTTGAACCCACCACCTCTGGCCTTTGGTGCCGGTGCCCTACTGCTTTGAGCCACAGGCACTGTCCTTGACCTAAGAACTTTTATTGCTATTTTATTAATTTTTGTTGAGACAGTCTCACTCTGTTACCCTGGGTAGAGTGTCATAGTGTCATCACAGCTCACAACCTCAAACTCTTGGGCTCAACCAATCCTTCTGCCTCAGTTTTTCTATTTTTAGTAGAGATGGGGACTTGTTCTTACTCAGGCTGGTCTTGAACTCCTGAGCTCAGGGGAACATCCTGCCTCAGCCTCCCAGAGTGCTAGGATCAAAGGCATGAACCATTGAGCTCGGCTTTTTTTTTTTTTGGCCAGGGCTCAGCTTTAAAGGTCTCACTCTGCTGCTCAAGATAGAGTGCAATGATATTCACAGCTCAATGCAACCTCAAAACTCCTGGGCTCAAGTGATCTTCCTGCCTCAGCCTCCCAAGTAGCTGTGACCAGAAGCTCACTAACTTTTCTAGTTTTTGTATAGACGAGGTCTCACTATGTTGCTCAGGCTGGTCTCAAACTCCTGGCCTCAAAGATCTTCCCATTGTGGCCTCCCAAAGTGCTAGGATTACAGGCCTAAGACACTGTGCCTGGCCCTAACTCAGGGAGACAAGGCCCTATAATTTAGTGGATGGGAGTGATATAAACAGTAGACAACTTCCAGAGTTGTCCAAGTTAAAAATAAACAAACAAATGAATAACAAACCCAGCAGATTCCTCAAGCTACCTTACAATGAGATTTATGTTTTGTATTCTCATTAGTAATTAGCCACAAAACCAAGGTTGGAATGCAACTTAAGATACAACAGACAGATGGCTTGCAAGTGGTTAACAGATGGTTATAACAGACACAATGACAGGTGAAGGAAAAGTGCCAGAAGAGGAGGCATTAAAAGAAGAAAGTTTTTAAATCATAAGGCTATAGTAATAAATATGGGGTCTTTTCCAGGTGAGTCTAGAAAAACTAGAAAAGGGACTCTGACTGGTAAGTAATCAACACATAGCAAAAATAAGTTTCATAAATGTTTATCAAATGCATGGCTGGTAAAGCATAATTTAGAGGGAAATTAGATAAGCTTTTATCTGATAGATCTGTTAATGTCTCCTTATTTACTTACTGACTGAAGTACGCCGAAACTTGTGAACATAACCACAATGATATTCATAGAGATCCTTTGTGCAATTTCTCACTGTATCTTTTTTCTCTCCATTTTGTCTCTCAGGAACCAAAAACACCAAATCATTTTCCTTTGGATGAAGCTGTTTAGCCAGATCACCTTCCTCCAGGTAAACTATGAAACAACAAGAAGTCAAAATTTACGTAATTCTAACAGAATTATTTTAAATAAGATTAACTCAAAAGAAATTAAATCCTTGTACTTAAGTTCAAAAGTATACAGCATAGGGCGGCACCCGGAGCTCAGTGAGTAGGGTGCTGGCCACAGACACAGAGGGTGGTGGGTTTGAACCGGGCCTGGGCCTGCTAAACAAACAAACAAACAAACAAAAAAAAGCAGGATGTTGTGGAAGGAGCCTGTAGTCCCAGCTACTCGGGAGGCAAGAGGATCACTTAAGTCCAAGAGTTTGAAGTTGCTGTGAGCTGTGACGCCAAGGGACTCTATCAAGGATAACAAAGCGAGACTCTGTCTCAAAAAGAAAAAAAAATGTACAAGTTGATTGTAAAACTTATATGACAATACAAAGAAACTTCTTTTTAAAAGGAACAGAACTACATAAGGCCTAAACTGTAGGATTTCAATCCTTTTTATAAAGTTACAATAATTAAGAACGTGGAATAGGCATACAAATAAAGAGAACAGAACAAAGTGTCGAAAAATACACTTCAACCAAGGTTAACTGATGTTCTGACAAGCCTGAGTTGCACGTTAAGTTGGGTGTTTGTAATTCAAGGACTGCCTGTAGAAGGAAAAAGGGCCCTGATTTCCCAACGGTAGGCTGTGGGTGAGATATAATGTTAGAACTCAGTACTCAGGTGGTGCCCATAGCTCAGTGGCAGGGCGTCAAACACCTACACTGACGCTGGTCACTTTGAGCCCGGCCCGGGCCAGCTAAAACAACAATGACAACAGCAACAACAATAAAAAATAGCCAGGTCTTCTGGCAGGCGCCTGTAGACCCAGCTACTTGGGAGGCTGAGGCAAGAGAATTGCTTAAATCCAAGAGTTTGAGGTTGCTGGGAGCTGTGATGCCATAGCACTCTATCCAGGGCGACAGCTTGAGACTCTGTCTCACAACAACAACCACCAAAAAAAGAGTACTCAGTTCACTCTTTCAAGTGGGGGAAAAAAAAATAAATGAGTTCCTAGGGCTGAAGCAAGGCTTTCAGTAAGCCAGAGGCCAAAAAAAATGGGGAAAAAAGACTACCTCAGCCAATAGTTCCTAGAGCAGCCTCCCTGCCCCAGCTCTCTGCCAGCATCTGCCCTAGTAGTAACAATGCTAACACTAAATTTACCACTAAGGGCTTAAATAAATTTGCAGAAAGATTTAAAAGATGGATGTGTATGGGGAAGGGTTAGACGGCCTTGGCTCTTAAAATGGCTTCATTACGCTTCATGGCTATTGCATCTAGATGTACCAGTGACCCTGGAACAACAACAGGTTTGAACCACAAGGGTCCACTTATACATGGATTTTCATCACCTTTGCCACCCCCTGTAACAGCAAGATAGAGTCCTCCTCTTCCTCCTTGGCCTACTCAGCATAAAGATGACAAGGATGAAGACCTTTACAGAGATCCACTTCCACTTAGTGAAGAATATATTTATTTTCTTTCTTATGATTTTCTTAATATTTTTTCTTAGCTTATTTTATTGTGAAAATAAAGTGTACAATATACATAACATAAAAAATATGTGTTAACTGACTCTGTTATCAGTAAGGCCTTTGAGTCAAAGCAAAATTTTGGGAAGCAAAATTTATATGCAAATTTTCAACTGTGCAGGGGGCTTTCAGTGCCCCAACCATCATGTTGTTCAAGCTTCAAAAATACAAAACTGTG